CACTACTCAGTCGACACCAAAGGCCCTCCCTCCAATGACATTGCAGGTTATAGTGAGCACCATGAACATGTCCAAGAGTCCCGCCAATGTTCTCTACCAACACAAGATTGCCCACCACCCAAGTGAAGGCTTTCATGTGGAGACAATTTCATCCTAGATTTGATGTGTTTCCTCCACCACAGACATCCCAGTGTTCCTTACTCTCTCAATTGGTGTAGAATTGGCAGGAGGACCTAGAAAATTACTAGGATAGGATATTTCTAGTGATTTCCTGGTTCCTCCAGGGCGACTATGTGGTCACATCTGAGAGAAGCTGACTATGGAATGGCCTGGAGGTCCTAGCAAACAGGGAGATATCCTCTCTAGGATAACATCTAGGGGACACATGGCATAGAATTGTCTGGAGGACCTAGAAAATTCCTAGATCAGTGTTTCTCAACCTGGGGGTTGGGACCTCTGGAGAGGTTGCAAGGGGGTGTCAGAGGGGTTGCCAAAGACCATCAGAAAACGCAGTGTTTTCTGTTGGTCATGGGGTTTCTGTGTGGGAACTTTGGCCCAATTCTATGGTTAGTGGGGTTCAGAATGCACTTTGATTGTAGGTGAACTATAAATCCCAGCAACTACAACTGCCAAATGTCAAGGTCTATTTTTTCTCAAAACCCATCATTGTTCACATTTGGCCATGTTGAGTATTTGTGCCAAGTTTGGTCCAGATCCATCATTGTTTGAGTCCATAGTGCTCTCTGGATGTAGGTGAACTACAACTCCAGAACTCAAGGTCAATGTCCACCAAACCCTTCCAGTATTTTCTGTTGGTCATGGGAGTTCTGTGTGGGAAGTTTGGCCCAATTCCATTGTTGGAGTATTTCAGAATGCTCTTTGATTGTAGGTGAACTATAAATCCCAGCAACAACTCCCAAATGACAAAATCAATCCCATCCACCACCATCCCAACCCCACCAGTATTCAAAGGTGCATAGCTGTCCGGGAGATACTAGGAGCAAGAGTCCAGAAAGGTCCCTAATTGTTCAAATTGGCTTTGCCGCTTTTAACCGGTTCCATATAAACTATCAATTTATCTTTGATTTTTCTTGTTTTACACTCGCGCGTAGCATCCTGAGTTAGACATGCTCTAATATCAGGTTGTACTTGATCCAGTTTCTCATAGTCCATTTTTTCATCTTTCCAATCCTTTCTAGCACTGCCTGCCCTGCTAAATAATTCTTGATATTTTACTTTGAATATTGTACAGAAATTCAGGAAATTGTGCTCGCGGATAAAGATATAGAAGAAGTATGTGGTCTGGGTGACAATTGGAGGGAATTGAAAATTTTAATTATTAAGAAATTAATAAATCTTCTATACACGTAATAAAAGTGAAAATATGTATGTGTGAATGTGGCTGGGGTGTCCACTTACATGCCTCCACAAACAGCTGTAGTTCTCACTACTCAGTCGACACCAAAGGCCCTCCCTCCAATGACATTGCAGGTTATAGTGAGCACCATGAACATGTCCAAGAGCCCTGCCAATGTTCTCCACCAACATAAGATTGCCCACCACCCAAGTGAAGGCTTTCATATGGGGACAATTTCATCTTAGATTTGATGTTTTTCCTCCACCACAGACATCCCAGTGTTCCTTACTCTCTCAATTGGTGTAGAATTTGCATGACTCTGCCCACTGCCTCTCCCTTAACCCTTTTCTATTCTTTTCTATGCCACACAGCAAACAGAACAGCATTGATCAGCAACTGAACCTACTAGAGAAATTTGGGGAGAATTCACCATGATTTATAGGAGTTGTAGGTGCTGGGATGTATAGTTCACCTGCAATCTAAGGGCACTCTGAACTCCACCAATGATGGACCTGGAACTAACTTGGCACACAGAACTCCTATGACCAACAAAACATACTTCAGGTCTTTGGGGAAAATTCACCTTGTTTTGGGGGAGCTGTAGTTCCTCTACACCCAGAGAACACTCTGAACACAAACACAGATGGATCTGGACCAAATGGGAGTTGTTGTAGTTCACCCACATCCAGAGAGCACTGTGAACCCAAACACAGATGGAACTGAACCAAACGTGGCACATATATCTCATTTTTTTTGTCGTGTCAGGAACGACTGCAAGTCGTTTCTGGTGTGAGAGAATTGGCCTTCTGCAAGGACGTTGCCCAGGGGACGCCCAGATGTTTTGATGTTTTTATCATCCTTGTGGGAGGCTTCTCTCATGTCCCCGCATGAGGAGCTGGAGCTGATAGAGGGAGCTCATCCGCCTCTCCCCGGATTCGAACCTGCTACCTGTTGGTCTTCAGACCTGCCGGCACAGGGGTTTAACCCACTGCTCCACCGGGGGCTCCATATATCTGATATGCCAAAATTTGATTGCTGGAGGGATTTAGGAGGAATTGACCTTCCTTTCTGGGAGTTGTAGTTCACCCACAACCAGAGAAACTGTGACTTCCACTAATGATGGACCTGGACCAAACTTGGCACACAGAACCCCCAGGATTAACTCATCCTACTGGAGAGGTTTGAGGGGACTGACTCTCCATAGTGAGAGTTGTAGTTTATCTTACAGCCAGAGAGCACACTGAACCCCACCATCTAGAGCAAACTTGCCCAACATAACAAACATCAAGAACTGATGGAGTTTTTTGGGGTTAACCTGGCATGATGTGAATTGTAGTTCACCCACAACCTTATGTATTTTGTACCATTAAAAAATTGAATTTTTCAAATAACTCGGGCAATGCTTCGGTCCCAAGCTAGTTATATATAAAAAAGAAAGTCCCCTAATTCTCTCTTCTCCGGGGCTTGCAACCTTCAGCCTTTGGAGACAAGAAACCAAGGCCAGAGCCGCTGCTGTTTGCCCACGCAGGCGGATTCTCTGGCATTCCCTGCCGTGATCCCGCAGCTTTGCTTTATAAACAAGCGGGACCAAGGCTGGCTTTGCGTGCCTGGCAAGTGAGCGGGGATTAGTGGCCGCCTCTGCTGCTTCCTGACTCAGCGCCTCCCGGCAGCAAAGGCATCCCTGTGCCGCAGGTAGCAGAGCAGGACGAGGCACATGGCCTTCCCAAACACAAGTCCCAACCCCTCTGTGACATTCCCCCACATTTCTCATGTTGCAGCAAATCAAAAACATCAGCCAAGCATTGCAAAAGGGAGTTCGGGCTTCCAAAAGAAAGGGGCCCAGGGAGAGCCAATGCAGCAAATAGGAATCTCTCCCAGAGTGAGGTTTTCGGTGTCCCTCTTTCTCCACTGTGGTGGCTGAAGGGAATGTTTCCGGGGTGTTGACCCTCATTTTGTCCCCAGCCCTGTAGTCGGAAGTCTTTCTGTGTCAATACTGGGAGAGGTTGAAGTCTCCTTGACCCAAAATGTTTAGGACCCATCTTGTTCTCCTCCTTTGGCCTTCATAGGATGAGATGTCCACTTTTTCCCAATTCCAATAGATAGAGAGAGAAAGTAAACCTAGATAGAGAATTTTTAAGAAGCCCTTTTGATTTGTTTATCTCCTTTGGATTCTGCTGGATAAAGTGTGCCCATTTTTCTAGTTTCATAGCTGGATGGATGGATAGATAGAAGGATAGGTGATGAATAAAGCCCACCTGCTGATCTCCTGTTTTCCTTTGCTCCGTGCAGGATGAGATGCTCACCTTTCCCCAGTTTCAGTCAATCAGTGGACGAATGGATGGACAGATAGACAATAAAATCCACCACCCGATTTCTCCTTCTCTTTCTCCCTCCCTCTCTCCTTCTCCTTCTTCTCCTTCGTTTTTTGTTGGACAAGATGTCCCTTTGCTCCTAGTGTTATACACAGATAGATGATACCCAGATAGAGCATGAATAAAATAATAAAATCCAACTCCTGTTTTGTCCTTCTTCTTCACTTTCAATGTAGGATGAGATGTCTACATATTTCCAGTTTTAGTAGAGAGCTGGGTGGATGGATGAATGGATGATAGGTAGGTGGATGATGGATGGATGGGCAGATGAATGAATAGCTAGGCGGAGTATGAATAAATTCCACTTCCTGATCTCCTTTTCAGAGTGAATCATCCATCCTTTCCTAGTTTCAGTAGATGGATGGTTGGTTGGATGGAATAAAATTCACCTGATCTCCCATCCTCCTTTGCTCCTTGCAGATGCCCATCTTTTTCCAGTTTCAATAGATGGATGTATGGATGCATAAATAGATAGATGACTGGATAGATCAATTGATGGACAGGTGTAGATGCATAGATAGATAGATAAATGGCTGTATAGATAGAGAGTAAAGTTCTCCTTGAAGGATGAACTATCCTATCTCCAGTTGCAGTAGATGGATACATGGCTGCATAGATAGATGGCTGGATAGATGGATAGATAAGAAAATAAAGTTCTTTTTTGGTTCTTGCAGGATGAGGTGTCCATCTTTTCTTAGTTTCATTGGATAGATGGATGGATGGATAAATAGAAACAAGTTGACCTGCTGACCGCATTCTCCTTTGCTCCTTGCAGGATGAGATGTCCATCTTCTTCCAGTTTGATTAGATGGATGGATGGATGGATAGATGGGTGGATGGATGGATAGATTAATAAATAGATCAGTGGTTCTCAACCTGGAGTCCCTAGATGTTTTTGGCCTTCAACTCCCAGAAACCCCAACAACTGGTAAACTGGCTGGGATTTCTGGGCGTTGTAGGCCAAAAACATCTGGGGACCTCAACTTGAGACACACTGAAATAGATGGATAGAGAGAGAAGTCCACCTACCAACCTCCAATTCTCTTTTGCTCCTCACAGGATGAGTTGTCCATCTTTTCCCAGTTTGATTGGATGGATAGAAAGATAGATAGATAGAGCCACCTCCTGTTCTCCTTTGCTCCTTGCAGGATGAGGTGTCCATCTTTTCCCAGTTCATTAGCTGAGTGGGTGGATGGATAGATGAGTAGATAAATAAACAGAGGCAGAAAGAAGAGCCCCTGCTGACCCCTCTTTTCCTTTGCTCCTTGCAGGATGAGATGTCCACCTTCTTCCAGTTTGGGGCCTCCATCCAGCAGGAGGCTATCATCATGCTGAAGTTCATGCAGTACTACGACTGGCACGTCTTCTCGCTGGTGACCAGCACCTTCCCCGGCTACCGGGACTTCATTGCCTTTGTCAAGTACACTGTGGAGAACAGCTTTGTGGGCTGGGACATGCAGGCCATTGTGACACTAGACACGGCCATTGGGGACGCCAAGACCACCATCCAGCTGAAGAAGATCCACTCCTCGGTCATCCTTCTCTACTGCTCCAAGGACGAGGCCGCCTTCATCCTGGCCGAGGCCCGCTCCTTGGGGCTGACCGGCTATGATTTCTTCTGGATTGTGCCCAGCTTGGTGAGCGGGAACGTGGAGGTGGTCCCCAAGGAGTTCCCTGCGGGGCTGATCTCAGTGGCCTATGATGAGTGGGACTACCGCTTGGACGCCCGGGTCCGGGACGGGCTGGGGATTATTGGCACGGCTGCCTCTGCCATGTTGGAGAAGTACTCCTTCATCCCGGAAGCCAAGACCAGCTGCTACGGACAGCTGGAGAGTGGCGACCGGCCTTCCCAGACGCTCCACAGGTAAGGTCTCCTTTCTTCTAACTCTGGGGGAAGCTCCACAAGGAGGTGCGCTACAACTCCCAGCATCCTTTTCTAGCAGAGTCAAATGATGAGGAATGCTGGGAGTTGTGTTTTAGCAATACAGATAAGCTTTCCTTCCATCAAGGCTAGGACAGCTTCTACGAAGGGTGGACTACTAGTCTCGTCATCCAGGAATGGTGAGGAATGCCAGGAGTTGTAGTTCAGCAGTACAGATAAGTTTTCCTTCTGTCAAGGCCAGGACAACTTCTAAAAGGGGTTGGACTACAAACCCCATCATCCAGGAATGGTAAGGAATGCCAGCAGTTGTAGTTCAGCAGTACAGATAAGCTTTCCTTCTGTCAAGGTTAGGAGAACTTCTACAACCTGGGACTACAACTCCCAGGTTGCTGGCTAGTAGAGTCAATGGTGGGGGATGCTGGGAGTTGTAGCTCAGCAAGCTTTCCTTCTGTCAAGGCTAGGAGAACGTCTACAAGTGGTTGGACTACAACTCCCAGCATCCTTAGCCAGCAGAGGCAATGATGAGGGATGCTGGGAGTTGTTGAGCAATTCAGACAAGCTTTCTTTTGTTAAGATTGGGGGAATTACAAAGGGTTGGACTACAACTCCCAGCATGCTTAGCCAGCAGAGGCAATGGTGAGTAATGCTGGGAGTTGCAATGCTTGGAGAATCACACCGTTTCCATTCCTGCTATGCAATATATTGAGGAAGGGAGGTGAAAATGGTAATGGTTTGGACTGTGAGTCCCAGAATCCTCCACTGTGGATGTTGGCTGCAAGATGTGGAGATTCATGGTTGAATTGGTTTCGTTCCCAAACCATAATAAAGCAAAATGTATGAATTTGTCGGGTTTTCTTAGGCAAGGAAGACCCAGAGGTGAGGTTTGCCATTTCTTTCCTCCAGCAGTCGTTGGCGGCCTCCCATCCAAATCCTTACCAGGGTTGACCCTGCTTAGCTTCCAGGATCAGGGGGGTTATTGAGGTCCTGCCATCAAATGCTCCGATCTTTGGAGACGCAGATCTGGCTCTGGCTCCTTTCCCCTTCCGGCCATCTCTTTTGCAAACCTGTCTCTCGTAGATTTACAAAACATCATCGGATTCCTTGTAATGGCCAATTACACCTGTGTTTCACTGGGAATTTGCTCCAGCTGCAGATGAAGGAGAAGAGCGCCTTCGTATTTAGGGAAATGAAGGAGGATCGAGGCAGCTTGATGCCTCAAATTGGCATGATCTTGGGCTCATTTGCCAGATCTCCGGCCTTTCAAGCTTGGGATTTGTCCCAATTTCATCTCCAGCAAAAGAGCTGCAGATATTGGTTCAGTTTAGGCTCAGCCTATTTGAAGATCCCTATTCCCCCTTCCAAATTCAACATTTCTAGTATTTTGGTTCGATTCTTAGAGGATTTTCAAAAGTGCATCTGCACAGTTAGCCTAGTGCAGTTTGGCATCCCTTTTAATTGCCACCTCTCTATAGTTGTGGAATCCTGGGAGTTGTAGTTTTGCAAGGTCCCTGGACTTCTGGTGACTGGTTTCTGCGCTGCAGAATGAATACAGTTTGGCACCACTTGGATTTCCATGGAGCCCTGGGAGTTGTCGTTTTACAAGGCTGCGTGCGGGTGCCAAACTACAACTACCAGGCTTAATGGTGTCAAACTGCAGTGTAGATGCAGGCTAGGATTAAGAATACTATCATTCCAAGCATATATCTACATTATGGTTTTTATTATTGTTCAAAGTCTAGCATGTATCAATATTATTATCATCATCATCATCCCAAGTCTAGCATTATTCTTATTCCAGGTCTTACATGCATCATTATTATGAGTTGCCGCCGGTGGCACAATTGTGTCAGCAAGACTGCTGAATGACAGGTCAGCGGTTCTAATCTGGGGAGAGCGGGTTGAGCTCCCTCTGTTAGCTCCAGCTCACCAAGGAGCTGCCTCTCATAAGGATGGTACAACATCAAACATCCAGGCGTTTCCTGGGCCATGACCTTGCAGATGGCCAGTTCTCTCACACCAGAAGCAACTTGCAATTTCTCAAGTTGCTCCTGACACAGGCATCCTCAGAGGTTGTGAGGTCTGTTGGAAACTAGTAGAGCGAGGTTTATATATCTGTGGAATAGTGTTCAGGGTGGGAGAAAGAATTCTTGTCTGCTTGAGGCAAGGGTGAATGTTGCAATTGGCCACCTTGATTATCATTTAATGGTCTTGTAGCTTCAAATCCTGGCTGATTGCTGCCTGTGGAAATATTTTGTTGGGAGGTTTTAGCTGGCTCAGATTGATTCTTGTCTGGAATTCCTCTTTTTTAGTGTTGTTCTGGTACAGCTGTACCAGGAGCTTCAACTTTATTTGTTTTGTATTAAATGTTTGGTTGCAGTCCTGGGTTTCAGGGACTCTGCAGATAGGTGGCTTCTTTTGGTTGCAGTCATAGGGCAAGTCATCTGTCCATCATCGTTAAGTTTTGGTCCCACCCCTTGCTCAGGGCAATTGGGAAGGGAAGGGAGCCATTTTTTAGTTAGTCTCAGCAAGGAAAGCTAATGTACAGGACGTGTGCAAGCTTCCCTGTACAAAAGCTTCAACCCTTAAGACTTTCCGGGGCAAACAGTCTTAAGAGCATCCAAAGATTCCCAAAGATTCCCAGGGAAACAGCCCTAAAGCTCTGAGGAATTTCGGAGGGAAAAACAGCTTTGAATATCAAAGAACTCCAGCTGAAGAGACTACAGGCCTTGCTGGTAGGTCCACTCGGTGCTTTGAGATGCAGTTCAACCCGGTAGTGGAGCCCACATCAGTTAGGTTTAGGTTCACAGTCAGCCTGGGAGAAATTAGAAAGGGATTTTCCTTTAAAGTAAAGTAACAGTTAGTAGCCACCAGTTGCACAAAAGCCTGGAAGCATTTGTTTAACCTTTTGAAGACAAGAGAAGTTTCTGTTTGATTGTTCCTCAATAAAAGACTTTGTTATATTTCACAAGCCCTCTAAAGACTGTTTGTGGTGGAAAATTCCTAAGAGCTTCTCTTTGGGCCCCCTGGCTTCCTGCTGGGCAAAGGTTGCACATCCTGTTAAAGGAAATTCTTTACAGGCCCAGCATTCGACAGAACAAGTGTGGTTCTTTATTTATGGTCCTGATTTTAGAATTTTTTAATACTGCTATCCAGGTTTGTTCATTTTCACGGTTTCCTCCTTTTTGTTGAAATTGTCCACATGCTTGTGGCTTTGAGTGGCTTCTCTGTGTAGCCTGACATGGTGGTTGTGAGAGTGGTCCAGCATTTCTGTGTTCTCAAATAATATGCTGTGTCCAGGTTGGTTCATCAGGTGCTTTGCTATGGCTGACTTCTCTGGTTGAAGTAGTCTGCAGTGCCTTTCATGTTCCTTGATTCGTGTTTGGGCAATGCTGTGTTTGGTGGTCCCTCTGTAGACTTGTCCACAGCTGCATGGTATATGGTAGACTCCTGCAGAGGTGAGAGGATCCCGCTTGTCCTTTGCTGAACGTAGCATTTGTTGGATTTTCTTAGTGGGTATGTAGATAGTTTGTAGGTAGTAGGTAACACCTCCCAACAAAGGATCCCCCAGGCAGCAACCAGCCAGCCATTGAGGCTGCAAAGACATTCAGTGCTGATCAGTGTGGCCAATTGCAACATTCACACTTGCCTCATGCAAACAAGAGTTCTTTCTCCCACCCTGGAGACTTTCCACAGATATATAAACCCCACTTGCCTAGTTTCCAACAGACCTCACAACCTCTGAGGATGCCTGCCATAGATGTGGGTGAAATCAGGAGAGAATGCTTCTGGAACATAGGCATACAGCCCGGAAAACTCACAGCAACCTATTTATCAATTGAGATATATATATATAGATAGAGAGAGAGATAGAGAGAGATAGAGATAGATAGATAGATAGATAGATAGATAGATAGATAGATAGATGTCATTTCAAATAGCAAACCTTGACAGCAACCCAGTGATTCCAGCCATGAAAGCCTTCGACAACACATCATTATTACAGCTACCACTATTACTATTCCTAATCCTAATCCAAATTCCAAATCCATCACCATCATTATCATCATCATTATTTTATTCCGAATCCTAGCATATATCTACATTATTATTTTTTATTATTGTACCATGTATTGTTGTTGTTGTTGTTATCATCATGCCAAGTCTAGCATATGTTGTTATTATTCCAAGTCTTACATGCATCATCTATATAAATAAAAATGTAATGTTCGTTTGTGGGATTAACAGAACTCAAAAACCACTGGACAAATTGACACCAAATTTGGACAGCATGCACCTAACAACCCAATGTATGTTCTTCACTAAAAAAATTCATTTTGTCATTTGAGAGTTGTAGTTGCTGGGATTTATAGTTCACCTACAATCAAAGAGCATTTGAACCCCACCAACGGCAGAATTGGGGAAGACTTCCCACACAGAACCCCCATGACCAACAGAAAACACTAGAAGGGTTTGGTGGGCATTGACCTTGAGTTTGGGAATTGTAGTTCACCCACATCCAGAGAGCACTGTGGACTCAAACAATGATGGATCTGGACCAAACTTGGCACAAATACTCCATATGCCCAAATATGAACACAGATGGAGTTTGGGAAATAGACCTTGACATTTGGGAGTTGTAGTTACTAGGATTTATAGTGCACCTACAACCAAAGAGCATTTGAACCCCACCAATGGCAGAATTGGGGAAGACCTCCCACACAGAACCCCCATGACCAACAGAAAACACTAGAAGGGTTTGGTGGGCATTGACCTTGAGTTTGGGAGTTGTAGTTCACCTCCCATTCAGAGAGCACTGTGGACTCAAACAATGATGGATCTGGACCAAACTTGGCACAAATTCCATATGCCCAAATATGAACACAGATGGAGTTTGGGGGAAATAGACCTTGACATTTGGGAGTTGTAGTTACTGGGATTTATAGTTCACCTACAATCAAAGAGCATTTGAACCCCACCAACGA